TATTAACACAAGCTCACGCGCAAATACAAAAAGCAAACCCCAGTCTATCAGTCCAAATCGAGCAAGGTAGAAATAAGTTTGACATTGATAAAACAGACGTCATTGTAGCGTCTGTTCCTGCACTTGGAAGGAATGTTTCAGCACGACTTGATAGATACGATCCAAGTCAGTTCAAGGCTATCCTCATCGATGAGGCTCATCACGCTGCTGCCTCTTCTTATACCAATATTCTTAAGCACTTTGATCTGGTTGACCCGAAATCACCAAATAAGATATTTCTTTGGGGTTGCTCGGCTACTTTAAGAAGACATGATGGATTGGCATTGAGAAATATATTTGAGAAGATTACATTTCATGTTGATTTTCTTCAAATGATAGAGAATAAATGGTAAAAAGAAGAAAAGAGAGAGAAGGATAAACCAATACGAACTAACAATAATAATAGGTTAAGTAATATGAAGGTCACAGTAGTAAACACAAAAATCGACCTTGGCAATGTCAAAATTGCTAAAGATGACTTTAATCAAGCACAATTAGCACGCGCAGTCAACACAGACACTCGAAATGATACCATTGTTTCAACCTGGAAAAAGCTAGCATCGGATGATAGGAAAGCAACACTTGTCTTTGGTGTTGATGTTGCACACACCGTTGATTTATGTAATAAATTTAGAGAAGCTAATATTGATGCAGAGTTTATTACTGCCAAGACACCAGCTGCTACCAGGCGCGATATACTGGATAGATTTAACAGTGGAACATTCCCAGTCCTAGTTAATTGTGGTAACGTGTATTTTTTTACATATATAATCTCAGCCTTTTATAAACAACCTTAAAAAAAAATAAAGCCATTTTAACGGAAGGAGTGGATATACCAAGAGTGGATTGTATTTTAATGGCAAAACCAACAAGATCCAGTGTTTTATTTCAGCAAATGTTTGGAAGAGGTCTCCGGTTATTCAATGGTAAAAAAAACTGTCTTATTATAGACTTTGTTGACACTTTTGAAAGTCAAGGATCGGAAGGTTTGGTTACTATTCCTACGTTACTAGGACTAGATCCAAGTCAGCTTGTAACTGGTAACACATTAAAAGAGAAAAAGGGATGCTTTTCCAATCTAGTCTAATATATAAATGAAGGTGAAAACATTCTAGCGTTGGAAAGTCGGGCCGGGGACACAATGGCCGGTATAGAAGGTAAATAGTTATACATGCTTTAAGAACATAAACAATAACAAACAACCATATAGATGACATAAATGACATATCCGCTGATATTGTAAAGCTTAAAATTACAGAATATGAATCACTTGAAGAGTTCCTGAATGATAATGGTGACACCATGACGCTTCGTAATGTTACATCAAATTACTGGCTAAAAATGAGCGATAAAAAATACTTGCTTTATGTTTTCGATAAAGGCTATTTAACGGTAGAGAAGTCAACAGATGGTAAGCTTATCACAAAAAAAATAAAAAAAGCACATGAGTTTTTTTTTTTTTTTTTGACTCCGTAACTGATATTTATGTTACACGAACCTTGTTTAAAAAAAAAAAAAAAAAAGGTTTATGGAAGGGTTTCTTCAGGCACGCCAGCACACGCTTCTATTCAAAGACTCGACCTTTGCCATTAGAATCCGATGCACTTAATAGCGCGATTCGGGCAGCCGATACCTGGGTCACTGACAGTTTAACCAAAGAGAACAAAGCACATATTTTACCCCTGTTGAGGAGGAATGCTGCATTTCGGAGTAGACCAGCCTCCACTTCACAAATAAAGGCCCTAGAGAAATATAAGGTTGACATTCCTTTTACGCCAACAAAGGGTCAAGCCATGGATATCCTGACAAGGATAAAGTTTGGTCAACGGAGGGAAATCAAGGAAATACAGTTGCAGATAAAGCGTCTAAAGGCAAAGGCTGAGAAAATGAGTCGTAAACAGAGTATGGCTACCCTTCAAAGAACGAATAACGATATAAGCTTATAATTGATTGTTTTTATTTATTTTATTAAACTTTACATGTTGATGGAGGGGGAGATTGAATATGTACATTTTATATTTTACATTTTTCTACTACTTTAAAGTAAAGCAGCGGGCCAAGTAGTAAACTAAATGAGCCTTTCGTAACCAAATGGGAAATAACCTCTTCAGTGTTGGATGTTGATGCCACCTTTTAAGTAGCTTATTTCCTCGCCTAGTCCACATTGGTGTTTGTTTTGGGTCGAAGGTTCGCAGAATCATCATTGTTGCTAAAAACATCGTACGATACTTGACAGGTTGATTATCATTATTGTTTAGTGCTGTTTTTAAGGGAGGAGTTATTTTATCCTCAGATGGCATGATTCCGATATATTGAAGTAATGACGTTGTTGCATTTTTGGCAGTCATTGAAGTTTGTGATTTTATCTTATTTATGAGTGAATTATTATTCATATTATTATTACTGGATGTTTGTAAAGATGTAGATGATTGGGATGAAAGATGATGATGATGTATATGATGGTGATGGTGGTGATGATGAATATGAACATGTGTTGTTGTCGCAGGAGTAGTCTGCTTCACTTTTTGCTGCTGTATCACTTTTGTACTTTGTTTTGCCTCAGTTGCTGTATGTTGGACAGACTCCAAAAGTTGCCTCATCGTGTTGATTAATTTCCACTGGCTGTGAAAATATCTTGCTTTTTGATACTTTTTTCTGAAATCAATCAATGTATCACCGTTACTAGTCGTTTGATGATGGCTTTTTCTTCTGTTTTCAGGATAGTTCATTTCGGTAAAACAAGGATATGAGCGTGCACGTTTTAATCGAACAGGGTCTGGTTTTAGAGAAAAGTGATTTGTCAAGCTTTTCTGCGCTTCCTCAATTAAAGTCTCAACAGAACCGTTCATACGACTTAAGCTATCATCATCATTATTCGCATCGTCGTGTACAGGATTAGATCTATTTTTTTTTTTTTAGTAACAATAGACTAAGAAAAATAACAAGGGTCCATAATTACAACTATTTGAGGGGGGTGGAAGGATACATACAAAGAAAATGCCAACTCTGAAGTTTGTTTAAGATGTTCTAATAAATATTCATTTTTACACTCCAATCTAATAATAATAGGTTATTAAACATAATGATAGTAGATAGGCACTCATATGTATATAGACCTACCTAATACAACGATATTGAATGTCTTGCATTATATTTTGTACTTTGTGCATTTGTTTCTTTGCATCTTTTACTGAGTTTCGTATTTCCCTCAACTATAAATAAAAAGAAAGTCTTTAATTCCATTGACTCCGATCCGTCAGTTTGTTTATATTGCTTGTTTACTTTTTTCTCCCATGATGTTATTATCGCAGTTGTTTGGTTATCTTGCTGCTGCGATTGAAGTTTTTCTAATAGCACCTCTGAATAAGAAGGTGGTGCTATTGTTGATGATAGAGGTGATGTACATCTTGGTAGCTTTATATCGTAACGGTTGAAGGTAGGTGGATAGACATAATGTGATGACATATATAACAAATATACAGAAGAACTATGTGTATTATATTATATTTGTAATGATACAATATTAATATTTGAGATATAAAACTAAAAGAGAAGTAATAATTGTATGAAAGAAGAAGAGAGGGAAATAAAAATAATTTTGTGATGTGTAACTATTTGTTAATGTTTTTTTTCGGCACCGAAAATCTGTGTTGCACCAATAACCTGAGAATAGAAATGCCAACACACTGTGATAGGAAGCATGTGAGTTAATAAAGTTGTCTGTGGTTTTTTTTTTTTTTGAAAAAAAAAAAAACAAACCCATTTTTGATTATCGTACCACAATAGTCATTTTTCACTTTCTGTGAGAAATTGAAGATGTATATTTTATTAATAATAAAAAGTATAGCGAATATACATTTATGATCTACTTCGTGAGAAAAGTAACGGAAATAAATCGCATTTCAAGCTATTCCTCTTGTTAAAAACAGGGTCTTTTCTTTTAAAACCAAACGAAAAAATAAAACAGTTTACTGAAAAAAGCAAAAGCGGGCTTACTGTAACATTTTATCGGTCCAATTGTATGTTATTGCCGTCCCTCTTCCATTTACACTTCCCCAATTTGTGGTTTAATGTAAACTAACACTGGAATCAATCGTACAAACTCTCACGGAATCATTTATGGAAAAAGAACAGAGAGATAACAAAATGATGAATCCGATACCCATCTAGACTACGTGGAATAGTCTTTTTGTTTTCGACATCTCAGTAATTGGTTTCGGCTCGATATCATATGCAAGAAAGAAGAACTTATTGACAAACACAAGGTGTTTTTTTTTTTTGATGGAAAAATGTAAATCATCTTCATTGCTTAGTCACAGCATTTGCCCCCTTTAAACCCCTTAAAAAAAGCCCAAATAGAGTAAAAATAAACAAAGCGAAAAGCGCGTTTAGAAATGTGTATCATCAAGTTATAGTATCTTCTTTATTTTTGCTTTAAGAACCCATAAGCAATTCATCCATTTATATATCTCTTACTGAATCTACTACTTTTAAATTCCTGTTCACAAAAGGCATTTTTTAGTACTTTCCGTTTTATTGACTGGTGATAGTAAATCACGCGCTCGTTTTAAAGAATTAACTTTTTTTATGCACAAAGGTATTTTTTTTTCCGCATGAATTTATTTGGTGATGAATCTATACCTTTCATCTAATAAAATCATTTTTTAAACTAGTAAGTTTTATCATTTCAACCCTATTAGGATTATTTAGCAAACACCTCAAAAGGTAAAAATCCTTTCGGATAGTCTTGAATATTCAGGATTTATCACAAATAGAATGATTTCTATTTAAAGTGCTTATTCTGCCAGTGTACGTGTTATCTAAGTGAAGGTTGTGCAAAATGGTTCTGTGTCGAAACTGTTAGTATCATGCAGTAGGTGACAAGAAAGTCACTGTATATCACGTGAATATCACGTGACTAAACAGGATGCCATAAAGCAAAATCTGCAGGCGAATTATTAGCCCGGATGTTGTAGTGGTATCATACGCCGTTCGGATCGGCGTGGTCCCGGGTTCAAATCCCGGTTCGGGCCCAAATTTTTAGACATGAACTAGCCATCCATTGTACAAGAACTACTACTACAAACGAAAGTGTTCAAACTTGAATTCACTTTTTTTTATTTTTTTTTTAAAAAAAACAACATCTTATTTGATGGCACAGTAAAAGAAATGAGTACATAAAAATGTCTAAATCGTAGTACATTTTTATGTATGCGATTTATGACTAAAAATAAAAAATGAGTCTAACCTGGTCTTTGTAACTTTGAACTCTGATAATTTGTAAATAGATCAACCCAATGGAAACATAGAACTTATTTACAAAGACCAGTAAAGCAAAGCGTGAAAGTGACATTCATAAACATATATTAAGTAAATGAGACTTTGATAAGAAGTATAGTATCAGAGATCAACAACTAAAAGAAACGCATTTGTGTTCCCAAAAAAAAAAAGGTTAAAGTCTTGTTGTAAATCTCGATAGAAGAGAGTGAAAACAAAAAGTAGATATGTCACAATAAGCTATGGAATTGTATTTTGGAAATTCGTGCCAGAGCATTTTATATTTTTCTAGAAAATCTAAAAAGTGTGGATATTAGGAATACCTATATAGTAAATATACGGATAATCGCATTAAATTTAATATTTTCTTCATGAAAGTGTCAATGTGTATGTGAGAGAGAAAGAGGGGGGGGGGGTGACATATATCTGATTTTATGAAATTAAAAACATCAAGCCATTGTGGCACGGTTAGAAAACATAGATTTAATCAGATGGGGGTTACTGGTGCTACTGGATCATATTAAAACTATACATAATGTTCACATTCGACATTTCTGAAATGTAACATTTGTAAATTTTCTATTATTGTGGATATGAAGTTATGGTTTGTCAAAAGTCAGAACAGAGAATGGATATTCTTCGATTTGAACTTGATACATTTCCTTTGCTACTTTCTGCTACAAAAGTGCTTGTATAGATATACAGAAGTATGTCTTATAGTTACTTTACTTATAAAGTTTATTTCTCACTCAAGTGAAACTGCATCAGGATATGGATGCAGATATTTAAGCTACACAAGAGGGTTGCTTTTTAAAAAATAAAGGATTGACAATACGGGTAAAATAGGATATAAAAACATAAATGTAAAGTGTAAGTATAACAAAAATAAATGTGGAACTATATCGCTCTATCCATTTGGATACATTTATAGAAACAATAAAAGGATGAAATGCATCTTTTTTTAGACTTTCACAAGCCCCATTGTCCTTTAAGTAACATCAATTTGACGGATGGGAAATTCAACAGCAGCTTCTTTTTTTTTTTAGAATAAATAAAATAAAATAACAGAAGATAAAATAAACACTGCTTTCACCTTGCACTTCTACTTATGCTTCCATGCAAAAATTAAGAATAACCGCGATGAAATACTCCTTTTGTTAAAGAGAAAAGAAAAAGGGGGTCATCTGTTTAGAATAAATATGCAAGAAAGTTTAATTGGTTTCAACATGAAAGGCACTGATGTAATTATCTTTTAAGGTTTCACGGTGTTGTAGCACATTAATAATGATACCAAGCAATCACTGTTGTGATATTTGGCACATATCTATATCAATTTCATTTTATGTTAATATCTTTTTTTAAAAAAAAAAAATGCATTCATATATATCATGACTAATTAAATCAAGGTTTAAATACATCATCTTTTTATCGGAATTTCTTTTTTTTTTTGTGATCATTGTGACAAGGTGCCTTATTCGTATTTATATAAAAAGGTAATATGATCCATCCCTCATTCATTTCGTTTAGATATATAAGATCAGTCCATTTTTTATTTTTACTTTTATTTTTTTACTCTTTCTCGCTTCTATCTTTTCCATCCTCTCTCTCTTTCTCTTTTATATATATTAATTTCTCTTAATAGCTTTAATAAAACTACCTTGCTTAAATATATATACATACAAAATGGAGCTTAACTATACGATCTTATTCCGAATCATCAATATAGTTGCCGCTGGCTTTATGATCGCTGGTGGTATTCTAACCTGTACAGCTGGAGGTAAACAACCATTTATTTATATTTTATATGTCTTGTTCTTTATTTCTAATTATATGATTCATTTCCCTTTTTCGCAGGATTTCCCAACGTCATTCAAGGCATCTTTGTCATGTGAGTAATGATTACTTTATTATTTGTTCGTGTATCTTACTTTTCTTTTTTTAAAAATATATGCGATTCAGTCTCTTTGGTATCATGACGATTTTATTCGAATTTAGACTACCAAGAATTATTGCTCAGCATGCTTCGTTTATGTTTTCCTTCTTGGGCCGTGCCATTTGTAAGTGAATAAAATACAATAATAGATCATAAACTGACCCTCTTTCTCCTTTTGTTTTTTTTCTTTAGTTTATTTCTTGTAAGTTATCCAACATAGACTTTCGTTTTCTTAAAAAAAAACAAGATATTAATATTATATACATTGATAGTGTTGGATGTATCACTCTTAACTATGGTGCCATCGGTATCGCCTTTGGTGTTATTGTAAGTATATACATTTTGAAGAGAACAGGGAAAGCGAATGAGTGTTGCTCTGATTTTAATAAATTAATTTAGATCATCGTGATCGGTGTATTCTTTGCTGGTATCTGTTTTACAAGCTTGGAGGCTCCTTCTAATATGAGAATGTCTACATTTGAGGAAACTCTACAAGGAATAAGCAAGACAGACCCAATCACTACAACTGAAAATGTTGGAACAGTTTAAAAAGAAAACCTTTTACTATTATTATTCTATTTTTAATTAATCAATAAATCAAACTTCATAATATTCATATATTTATCATGTAAAAAATAATAATCTTAAAGTTGCTCAATGGAGCATTAACTAATAATGATAATAATAATAGTTGGTAATTTATATGCAAATAGAGAGGACCTCCATATTTATTTATTTGGAGTCAAATATTATATAGCAACCTTTCTATTTCAACATGCTTAGCTTTTCATTTACTGAATACAGTTATATTTCATTAAATCTGCAAGAATAGAACGGAAACAGTTGTATTTTTCGGTATTTGGTGTTAGTTTTAATGCTTTTTTTTTTTAAAGAGAATCCTTTGATTGACAGCCCATGCTCTCAATATCCACACCGCTACCACTTGAGTATTCCACATTTTTCAATTCCTCGTCAGAATCATCTTGACCATCAAAAGCATTTTGACCAATTGAAACTTCTTGACCACTAAAAACTTCTTGTTCATTAGGGCCTTCTAGATCGCTGGGACCTTCTGAATCATTAGAAGCGTCTTGATTACTATCACTCTCTTGATCATTTAGGATTAGTGAAGTAGTTACAAGAATAAGTGACTCGGATCCATATGATGATAGCTTTGGTCTTTTATTAACCATGTCGTCATCCTCAGAAAGATTCGCAATACTACAACTCAATCCATCACATGCTTCTACTACTTGTACCTTTTATTAAATTTTGATTTTTTCCCCCTTAACAAATACCTGAATCTGTCTCCAATAAAAGTCTATGTGATGATGCCTTTCCTCTCTTCTTGGGGTTTTTGTGTATTGGAGTAAAGCAAAATGTAACTTCCAAAGATTCTTTTATATATATATATATTAGGGTGTGAAGATAGTGAATGTGAAATATGTAAACTCTTACCTGTTTTTGGAGATGAATCCGACTCCTCTGTAACAGTCAGACTAGACATAATTTCTGTTAATACATCCTCCATTTTATTACTCTCTAAAATTGATTCTGGTGTAGATTTCATTGATTTAAGAGTGTATTTACTTGAATAAAATTAGACGTTAATTGAATGTATGGGAAAAAGAGTGATTCTTTTCTTATTTCAAAGTAAACAAATAAATAAGCATGATATTTGGCCATATTTGACAGCTGTCACAAATAAGCTTATATCTACCTATGCATGATCTAAATGGCTTAGATTAAATTCAATAAGAAGCTCTTATCCCCGTATCTAAGATATCAATATAGAGTTACAGATGGATTTAGATTCAATATATAAGGTTAAAAAATTATGCTAACATATGTTATAAAATGAATGGTAATGAACATAAAAGTAGACTTATTTTGGGTGAATGAAAAAGAATGCAATGAATAATATCCTAGCTTTTGTTGCAAGTAGTTTTTATATCTATCTACTTCTATTTTTAACAAATACTTTATTAAAATGACATATTGACGATCAAGTAAACGTTGGATAACTTCTATTTTTAGATAATGATATATCAAGCATTTCCATTGTCTACATAGTAAAGTATTAGTGAGTCTAAACGCTCGGTTCTTTACTAGTACAATGAAACTCATCTTCTCTGTGTTTGATTATTCTTTTTTAAGAGCAACTTTCTTTTGATAGCTATTATTATAAAATTCAAATCATATCGACTATATACTAGTATTATCATCTTTGATGGCGTCTTGAAATATCCTTCTACGCCCCTTAAGTTACAGAATAACCAACCGATTTTGAGATCATATTGCCATTCTCGGTAAACTTACCAAATATATCAACAATAACTGCCTTTTCCTCTACAATGAGTTTAATTCGTTCTAAAAGTGCAAGATGACCATACCATAGCATAAATATGATCCAATTTCTCCTTGTGAAATAAATGCTCTCTTGGTAAATTGATAAAGATAGCAGGTGACGTCGAGAAAGAAAGAAATTAATTTTAAACGCCGTTTTCGATCTTTTTTTGTTGCCAGGCAACAAATTCAACTTCAGATTTCCTTTTTTTTTTTTCCTTTTCCTTTTCCTTTTTGTTTATTTTATTATTATTATTAACATAAAGAAAAGAGAAAACCTTTAAATATCTTATGATTTGTTCAGATTAAAATCCAACAATAAAACCTTTTATCACGACAACTTGAATACTATTATTATATAATTATTACTTTTATTACCTTCTTTTTTTTTTTTATCTTTTATATATATATAAATAACACAACAGTAACAACAGCAACACAAGAATTGGAATCTGGACATTCATGTCGACTTTTGTA